TTTGCTCAAATGTCCTACATGTTGCCTTGCCTTGCCCTCCTTTGCGGTTATGACATCTGGTCATCATTTTGAAAAGGCTTGTCCTCTTTTGCAACTATTGAGAGGAGGGAAGCATGGATATCAAATCAGTGTAACGGTAAGTGTAAGTATGTATCTTCCAAGTTGATTAAAGGTGATTGTGGGTTTGATTTAATCCTTGCAGAGCTCTTGTATCACTGATTTCATCCATATCTTGCCTGGAATCTTCTCAGGGCATGCCTTCTGCACACTAGCCATGCTTATTAACCCCAAAAGCTGTTTAAGAGAGAGAATTCAACCTCTGTAGCTTCTTCAAAGCTCTTCTCCGTACAAAGTGTAGGTTGCTATAGAAATTTCACTGGCTGTGCTGGCCTCTCCAACACCCCATTGCTAGATAGCTACACACTCTCAGCAATCCTATATTTGGGGCAATTTGACACGCTTTCCTCAGAAGACTAATAACTCAATTTCTTCCCCGGTGAAACCTAACAAATAAAAAGAATGAAATCCAATCCTCTTCATCAATCATTCAGTTCTGTCCTATTAGATACTCGATGTAAAGACCGAACTTTGGGAAATGCTGAACAATGCTGGAGGAAATAAAAGATTTAGTTTCTTCTCGGCACATTCGGATTCCACAGTCAATTAGTTGCTATATTTGCAGTGTGATCCTACATGAGATGCCAGGTTTAGAGGTAAATCCCTCACGGGGATGCATAGGTTTATAACCTTCTGCCATTTTCAAAGGTGATGTGTGTGTTGGTTTGCAAATCAGTGTTAAGTTTTGAATTGCCTGGTTGCTTTACAAAACCAAGTGGCATTTCCCTGAATGGCTCAGAATTTAAACAGAACATTTTCTTCTGTGATACCTTGAATGCTATACCAGCAGCATAGGAGGTGTCCATATTAACAATACCAGGAAATGAATTTTCAGAGCACCTAAGTCTTTGATATAGATATCAAGTGTCCTAGGATGTTATCACACGGGGAGTCGTGGGGAGAAAGTGGAAATAA